TTTTCTCGCCTGACTTCAAGCTGTAGTCAATGTCAATAACATTGATGCCCCGATGGTAATCATTCGTAGTAAATACATTTGACAACTACATGTGATTGGTGCCACACTTTACAAATCATTGATCCGTTGTTAACTTTTTCGTATTTTTTCCCGTTTCATCAAGGCAGTTTATTTTAAATTCAGTCACCTACCGGGGGAAGCAAAGAAAAAAAAAAAAAAGAGAAAGAAAGAAATGGCAGATCTACAAAATCTCGCGGAAGATCCCGAGGTCAAGGTAATAAACCCAGGAGATACCTCTGTACATCTGAATCCTGTGTCCCTCAGTCCCATCAGTACAAATCAGGGTGTTTCGTTTTGGTTTTGGTATATTAAAAAAAAAAGATCCATAATAATTCTTTTGAGATCTGCTTCCTGGATTTAAAACAACTCACTATATTGGAGTGTACGCGAGGGTAGGCTATATATAGGGAGAACTGTCAATGCCCACAAAAGGAGAGGTTTCATAGAAATCCATTATTCTATTGGAGTGTACACAAGAGGTGTAGGCATACATCAGTTTTTGGAACTGTCAATGCCCATATTAGGACAGGAGTGGGAAGATACACAGAGATCACTGGAAGTCCATAAAATTATTGTAAGCAAGATCCAAACAACTTTCTACATTAAAATCAAATTTTATTTTTGATAGAAGATTTTTTAACAGACATGCATGCACCTGTTACTGTTACATTTATGAGAAACATATTTTGTACACAATAAATAAATGTTTATACATCTATTATTATGTACACATAGTCGGACATAGTATGAATACTTAATACAAATTTTACACATGCAGGAGATCATGTAACTGCACAGTTGGTGAAATGCAGGCTCAGCTGTGCCCAGTGTGTACGAATATCATGATTTGATTAGAACAGCTGAGTGAAACTAATAATTAAGAGTAGAACTACAAGGCAATCATCTCTGTCTGTCAAATCAAGTCTTGCTTATTCATACTTCATTTGATAGATTGAGTGTTTAATTGAGAGTCTTAAGATGTCTTATGATCTATAAGTAAGTGACACACATATGCAACTTGAGCCTTCCTGAAAGGGTGGCACTTGATGAACTGTGCAGTTACAAAAAAGTTTTTGAAGGAAAAGAAAATACATGCAAGAGGGTTACATTGACGTCATTAGATCTCTGCCAGTGGATACATACATTACACTGGCCTTATCACATCTCTGCCAGTGGATACATACATTACAATGACCTCATCAGATCTCTGCCAGTGGATACATACATTACAATGACCTCATCAGATCTCTGCCAGTGGATATATACATTACAATTACCTCATCAGATCTCTGCCAGTGGATACATACATTACAATAACCTCATCAGATCTCTACCAGTGGATACATGCATTACAATAACCTCATCAGATCTCTACCAGTGGATACATGCATTACAATTACCTCATCAGATCTCTGCCAGTGGATACATACATCACAATTATATCATCAGATCTCTGCCAGTGGATACATACATTTCACTGACCTTATCAGATCTCTGCAAGTGGATACATATATTACAATTACCTCATCAGATCTCTGCATGTATATACATTACATTAAAAAAAAAAACAATAAAAAAAAACAAAAAACAATCGGCTACTTAAAAATTCTGGAGAAAAAATACCAATATATTTTAATAAATCTTCTTGATTGTGTACCAATCAATTCATGAATGTTATGAAAACCCATAATCATGGCTGCTCTAATGTATAGAACCGTAGGTGGAGCAATGCCGCACTGCTACAACCGGGGCAGGAGAGGAGGAGGTAAGAGCTCTTTCAAGAACAATACGGTACTATGGGGCCAAAGAATCCAGGAGACTGCTGTGGTGATTTTTTGTGTGTACTGGTATGTAATTACTACTTTGTAGTAATAAATGGGATTGTCCATTGACAACAAAAAAATATCTGCTTTATTCACGGTACAATAGAAATGAATTTGTTTACACTTTAGGATATTAAGTCAAAGGTGTGTAATAATTAATTCTTAAGACAACTTCAAAATTAAGTGGATTGTACAATTCGAAGGAATTAAAGCGTGTTTATATACAAAATGAAAAAAATCGCTGCAAAGTCTTTTTATCAAAGATAATTTAATAGGAGGCAATGAAAATTTACCCCCATAAACAATAAATGTGAATCATGCCTAATACTATTATAATATTTCATTTTACATCATAGCAATCAAGATATCATCCTCAGTTCATCAACAGTCATGATGAGACCAGTTATTTGTTTAGACACATTTATCACAAGCAAATCATAATGCCAGGTAAGATATTGAGCTAAGATTTAAAGAAAGAAAACATGCTGCCACATCGTCTCAATACATTCTCTACTTAAGCTGTAACTTGGCTCAGTGAAGGCTTCCCATATGCATGGCAGATAATGCTGATTACATCCAATGACATTTTGGCAAAGTGGCATTTAGTGGGCTTAAGATGTTGACTATGATAACAAGGATTGCCCATTTGGTTTACCTTTTACAAGTTTTGAGGTAGGCATATCCTGCTCCTTTGCAGTAAGTAAAGTAGTCAACATTCTGTATGTTAATTGAGGGATTATAATTTTATTACTTTTATATTATTAATATAATCAGTATTGTTTCTTTTAAAATTAGTTTTTAATAAAACGAAGATAATGCTGCTAAAACAGACATGCTTAATGGGCACCAAAAAATGTTATGAAAATAATGGCACAAGTTATTTGAAAAAATTGATCCTGACAAGCAAATAAATATTTAAATTTAAAAATTTGATGTTAATAAAAGCTTAAGAGACTTGAGAATGGTGCTTAAATTTTGAGACTCTTTGTAAAAAAAACTTGCTGATCGACACTATAAGAGGTTGCATTGTAAACTACACAAAAAAAGTGTGTAAAGATTCTTCACTTCATTTAAGAAGTTTATATTAGGGGTCGCAATCCGGGATCCCGACTTTCGAAAATACCGGAATTGGATTTATGAAAACCGGGATTTTCGATAATCCCCGGATTTCATTTTCAATTTTAAAAAAATCGTTTTTCTTAGTTTCCATGAAGCAGTTATAGCAAGACATATCAATAATTTATGAGATTTTCAAATTCCTCACACCATGTGTCTCAAGCTCAAAGAGTCGACCGACAGGCTAGATCTGAGAACTGTTCATTTGTAACAAATTATGGCGTTGTGATTAGTTTTGTTTTTACATCACGCGTGTGTAGTGTGTAAGTGCAGACGAGTCGCGACTTGAAGGTACAGGATTGGTAAGTAAACTTCATATTATTCACAAATAAGTGATTGGTATAGTCGAATGAAGATCAAATTTTGACTTCCATTAGGAGTTTATATGGAAATAATAACACGTTGCACTCAAATCACGGGGTCAACTTTTAATTAAACAAATTTTTTGATTGCTTTGATTTCTTTTAACAATGCCAAAAAAGCCGACATATTTTAAAAATATCAGTAAATCCATATTTTGATAATGAAATACCTTAAGTTTAAAACACAAAAAATTATTTTAATTCTATTTTGTGATAACAATATTAATAATTTTACATTCACCTCATAATTGATTTTCAAGCTATTTTGTCTCAGTCTGAATTTCCCAGTTTGTCTGTACCATACCTAGCCAAACATTTACATGACTGAATGTCCAGTTTTTCTGTACCGTACCTAGCCAAAATTTACATGAAAATTTAAACATTTTTAAAAAAGTTTTACACGTCAAAACAATCTGATTGAATTAATAATTGTTTGATAATGATTTATTTTCCCTTCAGGTTGATAGAAAGAAATGGGGAACCCTGAAAAAAATAATATAAATTTGAAAAGCATATGAAACTATCGGAAACAAAGACATCAGTTTGGCATCATTTCTTGAAAGCTACGGACAATCTCTCAGCTAAATGTATTAGATGTAACAAGATACTTAAAACATTGGGAGGTACAACTTCAGGCCTTCACTCTTATCTAAAGTCTGCACATTCCAGTGATTACTTAGACGTATTTCTAAGGCCAGATTATGACCAGATGAGAAAACATATCATGGATATTCAAAGGCTTGGTCAGACAGCGGATCTCCGTTGGAAATAACTATGAACAATGAAATTTAACATATTGGATCCGAGCACGATGAACTTGAAGACACACTGCCGCTTAAGAGACAATTAGAAATTGAAATGGAAAAGAAACTTCAGGCTCAGGATAATACTTCCAGACCAATGGATGGAGACATTGATACATTGGTAAAAATAGAAATGGCTTTATTTGAGAATGGCAGTTCAAGAGGAAAATATCTATAAAATGCGTATAAGGTATATTCCTCCGACCTGTGTGGAGTCAGAGCGGGTTTTCTCTTCATCAGGTTACTTTTGTAACCCTTGGGATCAAAGCTAAGTGACCAAACATACATTTTTACGATTTCATTATTTAAATTTGACCAAAGATTAAAACAACATCAATTATTTTAATATTTGATTAATAAAACTATTTAAATTAAAAAGTTAAAAATATTATTTTTGTTTGTTTGATTAAAGTCTGAAGTTAAACATTTGTGTTATTGTTGAAAGCTTATTAAAAATCAGAATGTGATATTTTTTCTGAATGTTTTTATTTCATTGATAAATCCTCACCTCTAATCTCGACTAAAAATTCTCTAAATATCGAAAATACCAGGATTCAGGTATTCATAAACTTCAATATCGAAAATACCGGTTTTGGAAAAAGGGACTGGTTTTGCGACCCCTAGTTTATATTTCTAGGATTTTAATCCCTTCAGAAATTGAGTTTGATTACATGAACGGGCCAAAGAGGAAAGTTGGTTCAAAGGTTTGTAATGTCAATGACCACGGCAACATTGGTGCATTTTAAAAACTAAGTTTATAATTTGTTTGTTTGTTTTTAATCACAGAGTAGAGGTACATGAGACATAATTTAAGAGATAAGCTTATATCAACTGTGTCATCTGTGTACTATCTGGTCCATGATAACGTTACCGTCTTTGTCACGCATGCGAACGCGGCCATTGGGAAATCTTGTTTCGTGCCTTCCATCAGCATAAACTGTTTTGACTATACCATCAGGGAACTCACGTCTCTGGAACCAAAACAAAATTACCTTTTAATGAAAATGTTGAATGATTTAACCCCACTACATAAAATGGGTGACAGAACCTAGGCATCTGTGTTTTGGCAATAGTGTGCAGTCAATGAAAGAAATAAAATAATTTTTTTAAATACTTAAAAATAGATTTAATTATGTGATATCAGTGTGCGCGAAGAAGAGCAATTTAATGTACATAATGAACATAAAAAATACTTGTAAAATTCTTAACCCAGACTTTAACTCCACTTTGACTCTATCCAAAACAAGCAAAAATGCAGTAATTCAACAATATACATTTTGCATGGGACTACTTGTGGAGAGTATCTCAAGCCCAATTAGTTTGACAGATTATTTAAGTGATTCATATAACACTTGAAGTGATACACATAACAACTAATATAACCATATAACTGATACAAATAACAATACATATAAGAGAGGAGGTGGGCTTAAGGTTCCCATTGGTAAAAGGGGAAGATAAAGGAATGTTTTAAAAATAAGACATCTGCTTCTTTGAGTGTCATAAAATGCCTGCAGTTGTCGGATTTGCTGGTTCTATTACATTCTGAACAGATTAATTTGATAGCTAGGTTATTTATGAAATATCATTTAATTTGCACATGATTTAAGGAATTTAAATGCAAATTATTAATATTATAATACAAAATATTTTCCATGTTTGAGTGAATGAAAATGTATAAGAAGAAAATATGGGAGGCCATCATCGTACTCATTATTTTACAGCTTTAAAATTGCTTCTGTACTTGTAAATCTTTTTTTCATTGCCCGGCACTCCATGATTTGCCCCTTAATCACCCACAAAAATACCAGACTGCACCAACTGTGGAGGGAGTAGACATTTTTTCAGGAGCCAAAAGGGCACATGCCCAAATGGCTGCCAGGTCAAGATGATGATGTTTAAAGTACTTTGAAGCACATCATGCAGGCTGCCGTGGTGCATTACCATAGGTTACTAAATGAAGACCAGGGACATTTTGTTAAACCAAGAGTTCACCTGATATTCAGCAGTGTGTACCTCCCTGTCCCCACTGGGGTATTCCACCGTCCTCTCCCCTTTACTGTTGTACTGCATGACTGTGCCATCGGTAAGGATGACCTCCTGGCCCCCGTCCGGAAACAGGTACTTGACATCCTTGGAGGGGAATGTGATCTCCACCGTGCCGTCTGGGTATCGTTTTTCTGTCTGACCACTGAAACCATACAATAAGAATTTCAAATCATGGAGAAGATTACAATGATGAGATGAAACCAGAGCATTGCGTGAGACTTTGAAGGAATTGCATAGCAAAAGAAATAAGTACATGAAAAGCTTATCTGTTTAGCATATAAGCACTTTCAGGAAATAGCTTTTATCATTAGTCTTTCAAAGACTTTCAGATTATTCTTCAAGCATAACATCGAAAAAAAAATACAGTTAATAAAAAATTCATTAAAAGATGAAGTGCACTTGTTAAGCTATTTTATTTCAAATACAGGTAAAAATTGAATTTTATCAGAAAAGCTAAAAAAACATTGATTGTGTTTTTTCTAGGCACGATAGCTGTAGTTATTGCAATTTTGACCACTTTCAGGACAAAAATGATGTTAAACAGACCATTTAAAAGAGACGTAGTGTAGCAAGATGTGCGAAGAAGCTCTGTTGATACAGTGAACAGAAAGTAAGCTTTAAATCATGGCATTTGTTTAAAAAAGATCTAACAACAGAAATATACACACTTTTTAAACTGGAACGTTTCCAAACCATCAGGAAATGTTGTCTGAAGGATTTCAGCCTCAGCGAAAATGTATACCTGCAGGGATGCAAAAATAAAATTTGAGGACTTTAATCTCAAGATTTGTAAAAGGATTACACAGCAAGACTGATATACAAATGAACAAACTCAAGGCAATACATTTAAATATTTCACTAACCAGACATCAAAATAAAGAATATTTTTAAAAAAAATCAAAAACCAGCAAAGAAAACTTTAAATGTGATGAGCTTGTTATGGGCACCAAGGCTAGTTTATCGCCACCCACCACTCTATGATCAGGAAAGATCTGGCGGATGTCTCCGTTGGCCAGCCTGCAAACTATGGTTTGCCCGTCTGCTGAAATTTCTTTGACTGTACCATTGGGGAAACTAATCTCCTTTGCCCCGGTCTTGTATGTCTTTTCAATCTGAAAACAGATTGTTCAGTAAATAATAGAACAAAAGAAAGCCACGCGATGAGCATTTTTGCTAATATTTTCATGAATTTCTATTTTTGGATTGTTTTGTTTTTCAACAAGGTTGTCTTCTCTTAAAACATTGCAAAAATATATATGGTATTGCAAGTTATGTATTTTTCGTTTACCTCTGTCATTTTTATTTTCTTTAGGAGGCAGAGATGTCAAAAACAAAACTCTCTAACCCGATGACACATACCAAACATAGTTTGAACAATGTTTAAATAGGTAACAGGATTAGACCTTGTTTCAGTGAATTTTTCCACTATTACAGTTAGTCTTATTGAAACCTTTGAGTATCATTATTATTGTTTGAATACTATGTAAGAGCAAAATTAAAAAATACATTAAGTGCATAATATCATGAACCCTTTTTCTCAACATATTACACATTACGCCCCTCACCTTGCCCTCTGGGTGCCTGCTTTCAACAAACGCTGACACGTCTCCCTTGTCCACCACAGCCCTCTCCATCGCCAACATAGCTGCCGATTTGTTGCCTGGATTGGCATGAGAGAAATGCTGAGCTCCGGGCATGCTGGATTCCTGAGTGCCGCTTGGAATAGCGCTTTAGAAATGGGGAGATAAAAAATAAACACCTGCTGAAATAAGATTTTTTAATCAATGCGTACAATAGAAACATTACAATAGAAACATTACAATAGAAACATTACAATAGAAACATTACAATAGAAACATTACAATAGAAACATTACAAGAGAAACATTACAATAGAAACATTACAATAGAAACATTACAATAGAAACATTACAATAGAAACATTACAAGAGAGACATTACAATAGAAACATTACAATAGAAACATTACAATAGAAACATTACAATAGAAACATTACAAGAGAAACATTACAATAGAAACATTACAATAGAAACATTACAAGAGAAACATTACAATAGAAACATTACAATAGAAACATTACAATAGAAACATTACAAGAGAAACATTACAATAGAAACATTACAATAGAAACATTACAATAGAAACATTACAATAGAAACATTACAATATAAACATTACAAGAGAAACATTACAAGAGAAACATTACAATAGAAACATTACAAGAGAAACATTACAATAGAAACATTACAATAGAAACATTACAATAGAAACATTACAATAGAAACATTACAATAGAAACATTACAAGAGAAACATTACAATAGAAACATTACAATAGAAACATTACAATAGAAACATTACAATAGAAACATTACAATAGAAACATTACAATAGAAACATTACAATAGAAACATTACAAGAGAAACATTACAAGAGAAACATTACAATAGAAACATTACAAGAGAAACATTACAAGAGAAACATTACAATAGAAACATTACAATAGAAACATTACAATATAAACATTACAATAGAAACATTACAATAGAAACATTACAATAGAAACATTACAATAGAAACATTATAATAGAAACATTACAAGAGAAACAAAGAAAACTATTTATAAAACTGTGATCAGACCAGTTGTAACATATGCAAGTGAAACTTGGACCCTAACAAAAACGGCAGAAAACCATTAAACACATGGGAGAGGAAAGTTCTCAGGAAAATATATGGACCAACAAAGGATGAATATGGATGGAGAATGGATGAATACGAACCAACCATGAACTGTACAGTCTATATCAGGATCCCACAATAGTAGCAGAAATAAAAAGAGGCAGGCTATGCTGGGCAGGACACTTGGAGAGAATGCCAAATGACAGAAGAACGAAGAGGGTGCATCACCAATACCCCAGAGGAAAAGGCTCAAAGGCAGACCTAGGCTTAGATCGATGAATGATGTGGAAAAATATCTACAACAGCTGAAAGTCCAAGCATGGCAAAGAAAGGCATTAGTTAGGTCTGAGTGGAAGGAAGTGGTGAGGTAGGCCAAAGCCTTACATGGGCTGTAACACCACAGGGATGGATAATGTACAATAGAAATTAACCATTGAACTCCTAACAATTGAAAAGACTCAATGACCACAAGGCTACGAAGCCCCATAAGAAACACAGGTTAGGGTAAAAAATCTCAAGGCAAAAATAAGATGAAACAAAATAATTAACATGTACAAAAACAATGATCCTTCTGCAGCCGACAGAGCAAAAAGTTAAAATGAAAAAAATTAAATTGAACCCAACTAGTAGAAATAGAAGTTGTGTAGAGTCTAAGACAAAGCCTCTAGCCTGCATTATTTCTAAACATGATTCTAGTCTCCCTTTATTTTTGTAATGAACAAAACAGGCCAGTCACAAGTGCAAGTCCAAAATCATGGAAAAGGCACAACAAACTTTTAACAATACAAAGCTTCTGGTATGGTGGTCACATTTTTGGAAAACAAAATGCAAACCATGAGTTTGAAACAGTGTTTATTTTCCTAGTGGCCCACTTTAAAATTGTTTTCCCTCTGTGGTCTCCTTCCCCATCATTAATAAAAAAAAAGAAAACCTCTATTTTTATATTTATAAAGAACTTTAAAATAAAATTTTGTGACCCTTAAGAAATATACTGTGGCCCACTGGAAGGCCACATGGCCCTAGCTGAGAAACACTGAGTTGAGCACTATATTTTGTTGCGTACTTCTCTGTCATGACTGGGATAAAGGTGTTCTGAGTCTGCATGATCTCCCCAGGTAAACCGACTTGCGCCGCAGACGTTGCCAGCGGCTTCAATCCCCCAGTCCTTGAACTTGGTTGTGCCACGAGGCCATTGTGGTTACTGGAGGGTGTAAGGTGGTTGTTGACAGTTTTGGCTTTGTTTGTGATGGCGCTGGTTGTGATGGGGACGGCAGGTCTTGCGGAGGTGGCTTGGACCGCTGGGAATAATATTTTTAAAAAAACCAGAATAAAATTTTTTAATAGATTGCATAAACCTTTATAAAATAACAGTGCTTGACTTTCAGAGTCACATAAAATTGTGTGTGAGGAGACGACTGGTGGGCTTTGACAAAACAGAGGGACAAGAATTTACATCAAGAGACGCCATAACAATTATACTGATCACTATATTTAGTGCATCATGTTCATGTGGGACCCACTGCATGCAATAATTTAACTACACTCAGAGCAATGGATCAGCTGCAAAGTTTATCTTTAGCCTTTTAGGTTAAAGTCCATACCAAGATTTTAAGTTTAACTAAGTTTATTGTTAGAAAAAAAAAAGGACATATGTTTCAAAACAGCTGACAGAGTAAATCATGGACTTACCTGGCTGGATCATCTCCCTGTGTCCTGAGGATCCTGGGGCCTTTGCACTGACTTCTTTTGTTGGTGTGCTGCTTCTAGGCTGGGAGGAGGCCTGTGTAAAACAGATTGGATCACATAATCCTGTGATTTTTCAGTCAACATTATCACATCCATACATGACAACCAGATACAGCATTGTAATAATTATTGCCATTCAAATTTGTACAGACTGCCAAAACATGCAAATATGTGAAAAGAAAGAAAAAAAAATATCTGGTATCTTTAAAAATTGGTCAAACAGAACTGTTTGGACTGGAGCAAAGAGATAACAAAGCTTTCACTTTCATAAAATACTTTGTACTGATGCCTAACAGCACTGATGGAAAACATAATAAATAGATAAAATAAAAAATACAGGAATATATTTATTACTGAATGATCCTTCTATCTTACTTCAAATTCATAATTGTCTCATTAAAAGATAAGGAATGAAAAAAAATAATAAATTTCATTAACAAAACCACTTACTTGTTTACCAGACTTTCCTAGGCTGGTCTCGCCGTGACCACTTTTCCCATTACTCAGCTGCTGCGCTGAAGACTTGACACTGCTCTGGGCGGTCATCCACTCCAGCCTCTTCTTCTCAAGGATGCGAACCTCCTCCCTGAGCTCACCGTTCTCCAGCTCCACCTCGGCCAGTCTATTCTTCAGCCTGGCGGTGCTGGCATTCCACCTGCTCTCCTTCCGCTTTAGCTCATCTTGGAGTTCTTGGAGCTAAGGTATACAACATGGCAGTCAGCTTGGCAAGACTACATGATACATATCATGTTGTTTGTTTAATACAAACTTAAGTAAAGAAAGGTTTCGTAAAACTCTGGAAGCAATGTCATATTTCAGATCTGGAAATATTTCAGAGTAATAAAATATTGAGACATTTCACGAATGCTGAAAAAAGTAGCATCAATTTTATTAATAAAGCCACCAGTTTGGGAAGTAATAATTTATAAACAATTACCCTCACAAAAAGAAGCTTTACGGGTTATTACAAAATATCTTTGAGCAATGACTTTTAAGGAAATATTATTCAAAGTGAAATGGTCTTTCACGGCCTAGCAGATTAGATGTCTTAATAAATTCACCTGTGTTCTCAAGGCTTCAATCTCTTCCCTATCTTTCTTGTCTGGCATGGATCTTATTTTCTTCTGGTAGCTGTCGAAAAGTTTCCTTTCTTTTCTGAAAACATAAAGATTTAAACATGTCATATTGTGTATCAAATTATACAACTGCATAATTATATCAACTCCCTGAAGACTTTCACAATATGTCATTAAAATAACCAAGTGATTCTGTTAATATATATATTTTTGCCATGTCTCATCCACTCCACATATACATTACAGTACACATGTGATGAAATACAACGCCCCCCACCCCACCACAGTGCATTAATCGTGAGACTCCACACAACTTACTTGAGCTTTTTCAATTCCTCATTTTTGTACTCCTCCAGTCTCTTCAGTTCCACTTCTTTCTCTCTCTGGAAGCTTTCTATCTCCTGCTTCAACTTACCCAAACCCTGTAACAATGAAAAGAAATAAATTTTAAAAATCTGGGTTTAAATACAACAATGTATTAAACTAAGGTTATAGGAATCTTAAACTATGAACAACAAAACAAACAGGCATTAAAATTCAAACCTTGATGCCCTAAACTACAGCTGACGGTTGGTACGAAACAAATATTAAAATGTATAAATTATAATTTTGGAATGATAGGAAACAATTTTCAGTAGCACAAATATTTCAGAGAGATGCTTTAGATTATTAATAGAGTTAGTATGCAGTATGCTAGTTGTATTAAATGCTTTGAAAACTAGTGCTTTTTTTAAATATAATCACAGCTAACATTTCAACAGCTGCATTTTAAAAAAAAATAATTAAAACTGAATTGAAGAACTTGACTCTTTCCATGCAAAGATGACCAAGGCTACATTTCCCTATTAAAAAAGAAAACCATAACTCAACAAGCAATACATCTTGACTGATCCCATTAAAATTCACCCCAGAAACTCCATTTAAAAAAAACAAAAAAACAAAAACAGAATGAATTCGTCATCCTCAGAAACAGCCAGACACCTGTTGGGGTGATGTTGTCTACCATCTTTTCCAGCCGGCTATTGTCTCCTGGATGTATAGTGGCCTGTGTTGTTCATGGTTGCAAGGGATGAAAGCCTTAGAATGGGTATTCTTGTATGTAGTTTTTGTAATGTTGTGTTTTGTATTTCAATGTGGTAAAATATAGATTTTTTAAATTTCTCTTTAAATATTGATGACTTTGTACTGCGCTTCTAGCCTTTGGGGATGAAGCGTGATTTTCAAATAAGCTTTATTATTATTATATTTCTATTGACTACCAACCTCTTCACGCTCCCTACGAAGTTTTTCCAGGTTGGCATTTTCTGACCTGAACTTTTCGATTTCTGCATCCAGCTCGTTCAGCTTCTCCCTGAGTATGTGAGACTGCACGCCGTCCGCAGTCTGAGGCTTAACAGTGGCTTGGTGGAGGGCTTGGCTGGCCTGAATTGGAGAATCAGTTCATAATTAATCTACATTTATTTGGGTCACCTAAGCTCTCTAAATGACTAGCATCAACAGCTGAGAAAAAAAATAAATTAATGCACAGCAAATATTATTCTTCCCGATAGATTTTATTTGGACAATTCATTATTTAAACACTATTTCAAATCAATAAAATTCATGTGATTAAATAACAACAGACTTATTTCAATTGCATTTAATATGATTTTCTTGTGTTTATGCCAGGAATAGTTGATCGTATTTAAATTTCACTGAAGAGTTGGCATACATCAATAGACAAGATTTAAGAAGCTTTAAAAAAGGGTCAGTAATTGACAGAGAACCAGAAGAAATGTAATAAACAATGCTCAATGCTGCTGTGTGCCGTCCATAGCTTGACAGGGGTAACTAGTACTTGGGTGGGCAAGGTCAATATTTTTAAAAAGCTGTTTTTAAATTAATAATTTTATGTAACTTTCTTTTAATGTCATATTTTCTGTTTCTAAATTTAAAAAAAAATATTTTTATGTGAAGCCAGGTGAGTCTAGGCTAGGGTACCCCCCTAATATAAGACAACTTAATGATAATAATAATAATAAGCCCATATACCAGTGCCAGAAAAAACAAAGAGGAAAAATAACAAATTATATCACTGAATCTAAACTATTTGTTTCACCCAAAAGCGCCCAAAAAAAAGAAGAAAAAAAAGACATCAGTATTGGCAATAAAGTTTCACCTTTTCTGCATCTGCATTAGGTTTGGGCTTGAGTTTTGGAAAAAGTCTGGACACAAGTTTAGACGTTGGTGGCGTAGATGCGCCCAGCTCTGGGTTTTTAGGAACTGTGGTTGCAAGAGCTGAAGCAAAAAGTAACATGTTTAAGTTTAACAGTGGGCTGGCCTAAGGAGGCAGTTTCAAAACTTAACCGCTTGGTGGCCACCTGTAAGCCGCCGGCACTTTTTTGGGGGAGGCTGCTTAAAAGACAAGCTATCAATATAAATCATATATTTTTTACAAAAGGCATAACTTTGGAACATGAAGAGGAGCAGTCCTACCACCTCAGTGCAGGCAGCCATGAGAAACACTTATAGCAGACATACAGCACAAATAAACATTATTTAGAAGCTTAACCCAATACATTAAACACATCGAAATTAGGTCGTAAAATTGAAGCTACAAATTTTCTTAATTGAAATAAGAGGTACAAACTAATTAATATGTCTCATGGTACCCATGCAACTGATCTCTATCAAACTATTTACTTTCAAAATTACCACCCTCCTGAGTTAATGAAAAAAGAATTGTCAGAAAAAGAATGCGGAGATGCAATATGGACCATTGGGGCAGCATTTTGAGGACACTTCCTTTGACGGCATTCACACTTACATTTGAGACATGTCTCCTCGTCCCTGTCATCCTCCTCATCTCCCCATGAAGTCTCATCATCAAACTCTTTCACAGCAGTCGCTGCATTCATTTCTTTCTCTTCATCTTTTCTACGATCAGAACCCTTGATTTTATCCTCTGTAAGCTCAGCGTCCGAGCCACTAGTGTCCTCGTAATGATTATAATCCTTGCTGCCGTCAGATTCCTCGTCGCTGTTAGAGTTTGCATCTTCACCGTATCTCACTCTGTTGTAAGATTTCCCAGGGTGTGCACTGATTGCGTCTTCGGCAGCTTGATCCCTGGTTTGAAAATTAATTCCAGCATTGATTTCTGATGGGAACTGTACCGTAATGGGAAACCTTGACCCACTGTTCAGCATGTCCAAGAAAGTTTGCTGAGGCTGGGAGACAGTACCTTGAGACACATTAGAGAAGCTGGACTTAAAGCTACCACTAGTGGCAGTGGAATCTGATGTTGCCGTATCTGCAGATGATGTGAAATATCCCTCCGGCGCAAACTGGCTTTGGGTTGCGGTAATGCATGATGGGCCGCCGGCACCTGTGGTTGAGGAGACGAGACTGGGCTGTGATGTTGTAAAAAAGGCTTGAGGTGGCGGTAGTGACATGGATGAGGGTTGCTGCGATGACGACCTCTGCAGGGAGTTGCTGCCCGCCATGGCAGCTCCAGATGTCAGGATGCCGGCCTGCAGCGATAAGGCTTTCAACATAGACAGCGTGTTATTGGCTGTGCTGAATTTCGATGACATTGTGGCGACTTTTCTGGTCATGACTTTGGACGGGGACACATTCTGGTTGAGATCAGAATAGGCACAGTCAGGTATAGTCCTTGAAGGGCTTGATGTTATATTGTCTTCATTAGGCACTACACTCAACATTTTATCTTCAGCATAATCATTGTCCTCTTCACTAGAATCTGTAAGTGTCCTATCAGAGGACTCAGATTTCAATCGTCCACGCTGTCTGTTATGAGCATTGTTATTTGAGTTTTCATTATTGACCAAATCATCCATCTTGTCAATCACATCTCTATCAGCCTCCTCCAGGCCAACTTCTGGGCCAGCTTCCCTACCACCAGCCTGGGTTAATTTTTTCGTTTCACTTTTAGATTTTAGCCTGTCCATAACTTCCTGTAGGGAGTGGAAGAAAACTTTAACTTATCACTTTTTAAAACCATTTCCAATAGGAAGAGAACAATATAAAAAAAAAAAAAAAAACTTGTTCTGAAAAGGTAGGTTTGTAATATTAGATTTCACTATGCCACTCGTAAATATAGAAGTCTGGCAAAACATGTAGCCTGGGTTAATTTTTTCGTTTCACTTTTAGATTTTAGCCTGTCAATAACTTCATGTAGGGAGTGGAAGAAAACTTTAACTTATTACTTTTTAAAACCATTTCCAATAGGAAGAGAAAAATATAAAAAAAAAAAAAAAAACTTGTTCTGATAAGGTTGGTGTGTAATATTGGATTTCGCTATGCCACTCGTGAATATAGAAGTCTGGCAAAACATGCACTTTCAATAAACTAAAAGTCAGATATCAACAATATTAACTCTTTCCGTACCAATCGACAGTATACTGTCGTTTTGACTGGTCGCATTCGTGCCAACCCACAATATACTGTCGATAGCATTTATGTAGTTTATTTCGTTTCTTGTGGCTCTTAATCCGACTTTTTTTGTTCTTAAACGAAGGATAACTCTTACTACTTCCTTTTTTAAAGAAGTAGGGCATGTTTGCATGTGTTTTTTCTAATAATAGTTCAATTTGTGTTGAAAATTTTGTTAACAAAGCCATGGCCACGCCCACTCCAAGCATGTCAGCTGTTGCTAGACCACGTAGGTAGTCAATTTTGCAAACAAAAGAACTTTTATTGCTAATTATTGATACTGAAACAACAGACAATAACAATGAATCATTTGAATCGGATTCCAATGATGATTTTCAGCATTCTGATGGGTCGGTAAATGCCAAATGGAAATAGTAATAGAATGGTGATAGTACTGATAGCAATAGTAATAGTGGTGACCGTCAGCAATTTCATAAAAATTTCAAAACATTTTTAAAAAATATAAAAATACCACGAATGTATAGAGCCTAGAGAATGGATTAAAAAAAAACACCCAGATCAACTTTCTAGCTCAAGTAGTTCAAAAGTTATGAATTTTTTTCAAAACCACTTTGTTACTATGGCAACAGTGAGGATTCAGATAAGAATACTCCTAACGTTACAAAAATGGGTATAACTCTGTAACAAAATGGAATATTTTCAAAATGTAAAATGCATTATGATCAAAAATGGATATATTTTTGGGGGATTGAAGCAGAATAGGATATCAGCTACAGACCGTATGGTAGTCTGATAAGTTCAGATTTGGTGTGCAATTTTAAAAATATAAAAAATTTGATCTCACAATTTTACCTAAAAAATTTAACTTATTGTTGTTATATTGTTTCATATTTTACATACTACTACTCTCTGTCTAATTTCCTTTAATTTGATATGAAATACAGCTATCTTGCAAAAAGAAATGCATTCAAAATTAATGAATAGATAGGAGCACCCTAAAAAATTTCCATTGGCCGAATACTGGTCTGGCACGAACGTGGAAAACCCCCTGGCATGGAAAGAGTTAATAGGAACACTTAATTGGGTCTTAAAACATCTTGAGCAAGATGTGTGTCTAGCTACATTGTGTTACAGACTTTTTAAAACTGACTAAACATTTTATTCATAAGGCAATCTTCAGCTAAATGTTTGAGAAAAGTTTAACCGTAACTTGAAATTTCACATAAATTAGAAACAAATAAATTGTGGAAGCACCTTATGTCCCTTCTTGTCGTTGGTCAGAAGTTTCCTAACAAGAGAGGAGTTACTGCAGAAGCTGATGTTGTCTACAGCATCTTCCAGCAGCTCAAACTCAGCCAGGCTGTCCAGCTCCACCTTTATGGGACAGATAAAACATTAGGATTACTGTGGACCTGTATGGTATATGAACTGAACGTTCAAAAACGTGGATTTATATCAAAATAAGATGAACATTTGGACTGGTCTGAAACTGGGAATACCGTGGACTAAATCAGATTGTAAATATTGGTAGGTGATTGTTTTATATCAGTTATTATTTGCATTCAGAAAAAGTTCTTAAAGCTTAGATACAATAATTTTGTCTCTGCAAGCGCTAGCTTACTCAGACTTGTCAAAATCCCTAGGCCTGGACTATTGAAAACATACTAAAGAATGTTTTTTAACATTTAAATTTTTATTTTTTTTTAAAGTGAATAAAAGGAGATTACCAAATCACAAACACACTAATTTAACTAATTAACACTAAATAGAGCCGGACAACCAAAATAAAAATAATTTCTTTAACTCAAAAGAAAGGATTGAATAAGGGGAGACTACCATGTCATGGTCTCCATGAGCAGATCTTGACTCCAGTGAGGGAGATTTCTGTACATTATTCATAAGGGTTTGTCTAATCTGACTGATGTGATCCATCCCTGAATTCTGGGTTGCACCTGCCATGCCCCCATCCCTCTGGCGAGATTTCTGCTCCTCCAACTTCCTGTTGGCGGCATTGCGGATGAGGGTCAGCTTGCCGGCCTGATCAGCTGGAGAAGGAGCAGCAGCTTTTGGGCCCTGAAGTGAGTAAGATCAACAACTGCACATATTAATAATTTTATATTTTCTAATACACGAGGATTATAATATAGTGAATAAAAAAAAATAATCATCATCTTTTAAAAGTCTTTTTGGTTGTTTCTAAAATGAGTTTGAATATTTTGACTTCGGTATTAATCTAAACTTAGGTAACGAAAAGGATCTCACGTTGGTTAAGGCCTTCCTCTCTAAACTTGTAAGACTTGTGGTGGACTTCGACAGAGTCTTCAACCTGGATCCTACAGATGGCCGCTTGTTTCCTTCCTCCCCGTCAGACAGAGGCTGCGGCTGGCTCCCGGAATGACCTCTGGCTTTCGAAGAGTTTACGCTGGGCCCGTTCTGCTGAAAGTGATTTGTCTTTCGTTTTGATGGGTTGGCTGGTGGCTTCACTGGCTTTTTGGGAGCTGACTGAAACCTTGAGGTGCCCTCACCTTTCTTCAAGAATGTTTTACTTCTCTCCCCATGTAATGTGCCATGACTTTCAAATCTGGTCTGTTGTTGAGAAATGATAGACTTAGCCTTGACATGTCATTATCAATGAATTAGAGCTCTTTGTAGGATCAGTGACAACCTTTTCATTGTTTACTAGCATGTAGCAAATTAACTGTGGCCAAAAGCTCTAACAGTTATTTAGTGCCCCTATACGTGCACAACTGGTCTAGCAAGGTGGGTGAAAACCGAACTAAGCACTGAATTGAAATTTCTAAATCTAATATTTTTTTCCAAATCTACTACGCTGATGCTAATTATAAGATGACACAAACATGAATAACCTTGGCCTCTTCCTGATTTAGCTTTTCTTCCAACAGCTGCTCAAATGACTTGGAATCACCTGCCCCCCTGATGGGCCTGTCATCAGGAGAAGATCTACTGACCTGAAATAGCAAAATGTTAATTTTTGGATAACTTACTTGGATAAACATAGCCTAAATCATTTAATAAAGAGTAATAATAGCCAAAGCGTTAAAGTTTGTCAAAAAAAGATAACTTAAAAAATATACAAAATTTTACTGTTGAAAAGCTGACCACAAAGAAGGGACAAGGCCTGTGCTAAAAAGCAGGATCCTGTTCCATAAAAATGCTACTTTAACACCATAACCTGTTTTCAACTAACCTACCCATTTGTACCCTGATATAATACACAAATAAACCTATACAATAGTATCGTGATAATCCCCTTGTACTATGAGTTTTTCCCCTGGCTGTATATGTCCTAGAGCAGACGGAAGCCCCATAACACATGCAACACTTGTTCCATTACCTCTTTGGCAGTAATGTTCTGCTCATCCTCTTCACTGTATTCGTCATCATCCTCTACCTCCTCCTCCTCTGAGCCATCACCATTTTCTCTAAGTTCATTTTCATTGGCCACAAGAGTGTTACTTCTTCTATCGTCCCCCATTTCACCTTCATCAAATGTAAATGTTCGTGGAACGTAGCGAGGATCATTTTCATATTCAAACACATGCTGTTCAAACCTTACAATCTAGAAAGATACAATCAAGATTACAACTTATCAATTAACCTAAACCAATATTTTACATTAGATATTCTATCACACATTGCAGAATTTTAGATTACAGTTTTATAGAAAAGATTTGTTGGAAGGCACACAAGGCCTGTTGTATGATCACCAGGGCTTGTAACCACTTTTGTACACCATTCACAACTCCCTAGACAGCTTTCTTATTCTGAAGGATTAATGTATAATAGAATGCTGTTGCTATAGTGAATGTAAGTTTTATTAAACAGTTTGATCCCTGAGAAACAAATCATAAAAATGAGAGGATCTGACCTCATGGGGATGAGAACCCTAACCACCATCGATCCATTTTTGTGGGCGTCACTGATATTAATTGTGGAATGTGAAAACCCCTGATAAAAGATTACTATGGTGGAAGCAAATCAGAGCCCGCGCTAGCACGGTGGGAGATACTGACCAATCAGACGGCTACATTCTGGTCAGTTGACGATTAGACAAGTAGGTCAGTAGAAATATTTTTAGAGTGGTGAGAAGGATGATAATCAAGATGGTCGAAGTTTAATTTTGTGTAGATTTTTGTGTTGATCTATTTTTGACTCATTACATTGGATTTATGTGGACATATCTTTCACTCATTACATTGGATTCATGTCTTCTTCTTCTTATATTTGAGGTGCCCACGATCAATTTGTTGATCATTCTGGCTCCTGGTTTAAATTCAGAGTTTGCCTTCTCTTAGATGGGTTGCCGTCCAAGGCTAGCGAGTCCCATCCACCAGGGGTGCTTGGGATGATTTGCTTTTTTTGGTGGGGATTGAACTCCAGACCACCAGCTGTTTGGTTTGAGACCGTATAGACCGCTCGGCCACCCAGCATGTGGATGTCTATATATTAGGGTAAGTATATATATTAAAACAATAAGTCACTGTTTTATAGAAGAACCTAGCCTCATTCACTACGTGCAGTGACAGTGGTTGAAAGATATAAAGATTCATCAGTGATGGAAGATTCATGAGAACATCACCAAACTATTCAAAACTTCCCTGATGATATCCTAGGTGAAATTATTTACCTGAGCCGACTTAACGGTATTCATAGCAGGCTGTTTCTGAGGTGGCATGGATTTCATCTGATGTTGCTTTGAATGTTGCTGCTGAAGTGAGCCGTTGGTCTGCGTTGCGGGTGGGGAGGACGGGTTGTACTGCAGCTTTCTGGCCCTCGACTGCTGCCCGGGTCCTGGCAGTGTCGGGGAGGCCGAAAGCTCAACGGCACTGGAGGTCATCGGCGGAGTAACTGTTCGTTCTTTTCCTGGCAAAAAGTTTAGAACCTGTAAAAATCCAACAGAAGTAGAAAATAACACAAAAGCATTGTTAATATATGAAAAATAGAAGCCCGTGTTGATAGAGTTATAATTGGATCTAACGTAATTGTCAATAAATGTAATAAGTTTTGCATTTGGATGAAAATAAATGCCATGAAGCATAACATTAATAAAAAAATAGAATTTACCTGTTGCAAAAGTCCAGCAGGTGCAGTGGAAAGTAAATGTTCCAGGCCTGCCAGCTGGTCACTGACCGCACCATTTCTCAGTCCTCCCCTCAGCGGCCGCGGAGGGGGCAGCTTTGGGAGGGTAAAGTTCTCGCTGGAGTCTGACATCCAATCGGCCTCTGGATGAGGGTCCTCTTTCAGAATCTCAAGCTGGTCCTCGTGTGAGCCAGGATTGCTGAAGAGCTCAGAGTTAGTGTACCTATCCTCATCATTCAAGTTTAGCGGTTTATTTGGGTCGATATACATCACTGGCCTGGGCAAAGTGCTCAACTGACTCTGAGGAATAAGGACGCACAAAAGAATATAAACAATAAAATTATTCTATCCCAAATGTGCTCTGTGCCACAGGCAAAATCATAGCACAGCTTTAAAAAATTTTTTTTAAATATATTTCAAATTCCTAATCCTTTAACTTTATTAATGACACATGAAGACTATTTTCAAGCTTTATCTGTACTTGTCACTAATTTTTCAGCTAACTTGGCTGCCTGCACGTACTTAGCACAGAGTCCTACAAACAACCAACTTCTATGGGTATTCCCATGGGTGTTTCAGGGATTCTTAAAATCCTCATGAAATCTGTCACTTCATTTGCATGATTTTAGCACTCATTAGTTGCCATTTCCCACTTAACATTTCCCCTTGATGAACAAATTCAAGGCTAACCCAGGGGAACACTGTTCTATGTCAACAACAAAGTGATAAAGCCCAAATTTAAAATAAGACCTTAAAACGGGGGGGGGAGACCTCTACGATCAGTTCACAAAGCATAATCAGATTTTGATGATACCTTGAGTGTATCCTGCATAGACACAAGTCCACTATCCACGGATATGCCAGCTGTTAGATGCTGGCTGACATGAAATGAATCTGTTTCATTGGCGTTTCTCGGTTTTGATGGTGGCGTCATGATGGGGGATCTGCTACCTCCTGCATTTGGCTTAAGAACTGAAATAGTCAAATGGCATATGAGCAGAGATAGCTTTTAAAAAAAAATTTACTAGCCAGCTGAGCAGAGATATTTTTGGCGACCAGTTGAACAATATAAATTCAAGAAAAAGTTCCAAACAGAACAAAAGAGGAAAGCGAGGAGATATTTCATAAAGAGTACATGAGATGTGGTTAGGATAAGCACCGGGGAAAGACCAAGAGAAACTGCAGACATTTTTCTCTCTTGGCGTCAAATATCAACAAGTGGAACAAATAGCCGGAAAAGCAAATTAACTGATCAAATAACCCCCCAAGCAATAAATAATAAGCTTTAAGTTCTTCCATGTACATGATGAATAAAAATAATGTTTGTTGGTGCTTGGTAGGTATTCTGAAAAATTTGCTTTCCCCACACAAAGCTCAAACCTTGGATGGGATTCCATTGTGATCCCCTCTGGGTGGCAATCAAAGTCTGCACTTTACTTTGCTCCTCTTGCCACGCTTTGAGCTGCCTCTGCTGCTGTAGCATGAGCTGTTCCTGCTGCTGCTGCTGCCACTGGCGCAGCTCTTTGAAGCGCTGCAGGAGGCGTTTCTGTTCTTTGGCCTGGTGCTCTTCCAGTAGATCTAACGAGGTATCTGTTTACATGGATGAAAAAAAATTGTTGAAAGGTGAACCAACATCGAATTTGGGGGGTGGGGTGGTTTAAAGGTTGTTTTTGTTTTCTAGATTTAATTTTGTGTATCATAGAGATTAAAGTAATTATGTAACAGCAAAGTTAGCTCAAAATCTAAAAAACCATCCATCTCATTCTCAGTTGCCATCCTTAGAAATTAACATGGGATTAACTCTCTGGCGGCCGTTTCTAGAACCACATATCTCTGAACTAGTTTCAAGAAAGTGTAACTATATAGAAAATGTGAAAGAAAATATTAGCAATGGATATCATTTATATCTGAAATTATATTTTAAAAATTTTTTCAGAAATATAAATTTCATCATACAAATATCTTAAAAGTTTTGACTTTTCACATTTTAATGTATTAAACTCGGAAAGGGAAAATAACATTCCAATAAACATGCGCCTCAGAAGAAAGGGCAGCTATTTTCTGGTTTCAGCTCACAACAGTGAGTATATTTTCAAAATTTTTTTGTCACCTTTACAAGGCAAGTGAGTACATACTTGCAATAGAGGGATCTTCAGCAGAGTTTTGCATGGCTTGATGATAACTCTCGAGAAATGCCGAGTCCCTAAAGGCACTATCATCTTCTAATTCAGAATTCATATCTGAGATCTGACTTAAACTAGGAAGAGAAAAATGGATTAATATTTAAGATGAGATACAATAATTCTATGCACCTATATATATATATATATATATATATTATAGTTGTTTCACATAACTTATTTTTATAAAACAATGTAACCATAAGTATTTATATAGATGATCTAAACTTTAGAGATCACTTACTGAAAATCGAGGAAGCTGAAATATTTTGAAAGAAATAGTAGGACAAGGATGTGGAAGCTTGAATCGAAAGACTGGATTCAAGCTTCCACATACCTTGTTCTACTATTTCCTTCACACAGCTTGAATGCAGTCCTTTATTTAATATTTTGAAAAGACACGGAATCGCCTACAAATTAAGACAAATGACAGATATTTTCCCTATGTGACCTGTTGGATATACTTTTAACATATACGCACATGGGCGTATTCTTTCTGTCCACAAGACTCGCACAAAAACATACAGTGAACGATCTTTCTCTTTCTGTCCCCCCAAACAATGGAATTCTCTTCCACTACACATCTGCAATATACCGACCATCACAGCCTTCAAAACTGCACTCAAAACACATCTTTTTAAACTCAACTATCCTGAATGATTCCCCCTTCTGACCGATAAACGATGCTGCTGGGTGCCGCCCATGGCTTGACATGTAAATAGTTCTGGAATGTGTGAAGTGAACATACATTTGTTGTTTTTTTTTATTTAATTAATGTATGCCAATTTTTAAGTTCATGATTATGTTTGTTAAATTGTATGTCCAGCGTGGTGAGCCCAGCCCTAGGCTGAGGTACAGTGCTTTATAAATCGACTAGTAATAATATTCCCAAAGAACTCTTCTTTAGTGACCTTTGAAAAGGAAAGCAAAATAGAGAAGCTCTCAGAAACTGCTACAAAGACCAAGGAAAGCACCAGCTTGGATGGAAGGAAGCATTAGAGAACCAATGGCTTCTTAAAACTGGGAGGAATTGGAGATCTTAATGCCTAAAGAAAAAGTTTCAATCATATGTTTTAGTCTCACCCCAACAGGCAGATGGCAAAATAAAGGATGCCATAGCTTTAGGTGACTGGAATACATAGTGTATGGCTGGAGCAGATAGTGTATGGCAGAAGATTTTAATTTTATACAGGATTGCCAAAATTGAACAAAATTTTGTGAGATGATCAAGGATATTGAAAGATAAGCAGTCACTGACTCTCAAATAATAAAAATAAGGCTTTTGAAAATAATACATCAACTGAAAGTAGTAGGCTATAGACATTTAGTATTATTTTTATCGAAGTGGCTATTCGAACCCAGATCCGAGAAGTTAGTGGTTGGGATTAAAATTTTTTAAAAATATATTATTGTTAGGTCATAAGACAAAATTTGCTATCAAATGAAAGATAATTGAATGGACTATATTTTTGTAAACTTAATTCTTCAGTTTAACTAAAATAAACTACAAATTACATCTGAATAGCATTGAGTCTAAAGGGAGCATGGTCCGAAGGCGTTGATGCGTTTCCAGTTTCATTTTACTAAGAACATTCTACTCAGGGGCATACTGAGGACATTCTACCCAGGGGTATACTGAGGACACTCTACTCAGGGGTATACTGAGGACATTCTACTCGGGGGTATACTGAGGACATTAGGGGTATACTATGGACATTCTACCCCGGGGTATACTGAGGACATTCTACCCTGGGGTATACTGAGGACACTCGAATTAGGGGTATACTAAGGACACTCTATTCAGGGGTATACTGAGGACATTCCACTCAGGGGTATACTGAGTAAGAATGTGCGAAAGCCTATGTTACTGTTCAGCAAGAGCTGGTTCATTATAAATAGAACAGATGCTGTGACCTCTCATTTTTGTTTGCAAGCCTCTTGCTTTCATTTGTAATCATTGCATTAGTAATTATTTCTATATACAGTGTATGGATGTTATGAGTTTTATTAAGATTCAGGGTTTGACAAATTTTTAGAAAGGAATTTCAGGGTTCACAGCTTTCTGTGAGTGGCACCCCTGCTGGTGTTACTCAGTTAGGCCTTACCTCCTGCACTAGTTAGTGCTAGGAATAATGGTTTAAGTTATAATTATCCTTATCTATCACTATGACTCCATGTTATTTGACCAGGATAATTCCTTGAACCTGATCCTGGTAATTTAAATATTTAGAATGCAGTATGGTACTTAAATATTTAGACTTACTAAGCCTACACATGTTGATTTTAAAAAAACAAACAGAATACGTATTTGAATAATTATAAACTGAACTGGCGAATCCAGAGCGAGAGAAAATAAAAACTCATGAATCTGGAGCTGAAAAATATTTAGCTCAAGGACTGCGGTATTCCGGGATAAACCTAAGTAACAACACAACACTAACTTAGACTTACCTAACTCTCCTAACTCAGTAATTGAAAAAAAAAAGTTTCAATGCGATTTTTAAGTCAATGAGTCACAAAAGGAAAAAGTAAGGATGGAATTTTTTAAAACTCTTCTAAAATAAAAAAAGAGAATTAAATGCAAAAGAGTTGTATCTATTGTGGGGGAGGGGGAGACACCCGGCACAAATTTTAGCCTTAAATTCAATTTAAAACAAGTCACTAACATTACTAACAAGTCGCTGCACGTTCTTTCTTCAAATTCATACTTATTTGGAAGTTGACATCATAAAATTTACTGTTATAAAGCATTAATTCCAATTATTTGTATTCCATTTAAATCTGAGAATATTCACCGTTTAAAAATGCATGTCATAAACTCTTTTGTAAGATTTTCAAAATCTTTGAAATATACATTTTAACACAAAGTTTTTGAGCTCTCAGCAGCTATGAAACGACATGTTTATTTACTAACTGGGGCATTTCCGGAAATTTATTTGGATGTATTCCGTACAATGCATGATGACAAG